ATGTTTATTTTGTTTAATTTTGATGATTACAAATGACAACAAATGAAAATCTCAAATTCATCATATCAGAAAATTAGAATATTACTGAAGACCAATAAAAACAAAGGATTTATAGAAATGTTGGCCAACTGAAAAGTATGAACATGAAAAGTATGAGCATGTACAGCACTCAGTATTTAGTTGGGCCTCCTTTGGCCTGTATTACTGCAGCAATGCGGCGTGGCATGGAGTCGATCAGTCTGTGGCACTGCTCAGGTGTTATGATAGCCCAGGTTGCTCTAATAGTGGCTTTTAGCTCTTCTGAATTGTTGGGTCTGGTGTATTGCATCTTCTTCTTCACAATACCCCATAGATTTTCTATGGGGTTAAGGTCAGGAGAGTTTGCTGGCCAATTAAGAACAGGGATACCATGGTCCTTCAACCAGGTACTGGTAGCTTTGGCACTGTGTACAGGTGCCAAGTCCTGTTGGAAAATGAAATCTGCATCTCCAAAAAGTTGGTCAGCTGCAGGAAGCATGAAGTGCTCTAAAACTTCCTGGTATGTAGCTGCGTTGACCCTGGACCTCAGAAAACACAATGGACCAACACCAGCAGATGACATGGCACCCCAAACCATCACTGACTGTGGAAACTTTACACTGGACTTCAAGCAACGTGGATGAAGTGCCTCTCTTCTTTTCCTCCAGACTCTGGGACCTTGATTTCCAAAGGAAATGCAAAATTTACTTTCATCAGAGAACATGACTTTGGACCACTCACCAGCAGTCCAGTCCTGTTTCTCTTTAGACGCTTCTGACACTGTCTGTGGTTCAAGAGTGGCTTGACACAAGGAATGCGACAGCAGAAACCCATGTCTTTCATACGTCTGTGTGTGGTGGTTCTTGAAGCACTCACTCCAGCTGCAGTCCACTCTTTGTGAATCTCCCCCACATTTTTGAATGGGTTTTGTTTCACAATCCTCTCCAGGGTGCGGTTATCTCTCTTGCTTGTACACTTTTTTCGACCACATCTTTTCCTTCCCTTCGCCTCTCTATTAATGTGCTTGGACACTGAGCTCTGTGAACAGCCAGCCTCTTTAGCGATGACCTTTTGTGTCTTGCCCTCCTTGTGCAAGGTGTCGATGGTCGTCTTTTGGACAACTGTCAAGTCAGCAGTCTTCCCCATGATTGTGTAGCCTATAGAACTAGACTGAAAGACCATTTAAAGGCTTTTGCAGGTGGTTTGAGTTAATTAGCTGATTAGAGTGTGGCACCAGGGGCCATCAATTTTGAACCTTTTCACAATATTCTAATTTTCTGATATGATGAATTTGAGATTTTCATTTGTTGTCATTTGTAATCATCAAAATTAAACAAAATAAACATCTGAAATATATGAGTTTGTATGTAATGTATGAATATAATATACAAGTTTCACTTTTTAAATGGAATTACTGAAATCAATCTACTTTTTCATGATATTCTAATTTTATGACCAGCACCTGTAAATTCTGCGCCCTTTGCTCCCAGAGGTTCCATTGCATCTCATGGTTAATTTGTTTCCCTTGCTTTTTAATCATGAGTTAGAAGCAGCACTGATGCTTTCGATAGAGAGCGCAGTGACTAAGTCATCAAAGAATATTTATCTAATGCTTTGTTTATTCCACATTTGATCCACCCTCTAATTCCTGCTCTCTTTTATTTCCTAGATGACAGCAACTGTCCATGTAAACAGACTTTGTTGAGCCTCAAAGGCACAGATGGCAGATCCTTACTATGAAGTCCACGGCGGACTGGATCATCAGTACATCAAAAGTTGTGATCATCCAGTGTTTACAGTTGGAATCAAACCGGCCTGTTGTTTAAAAAAAATAATACTCAACTCCCAAAGCTGTTAATTAGCACCCTATAGGGAATTTTTAATGAATTTCTCACTTTTAATGAATTTTCCCTTGTTAAAATGGCTGTAATTTCCCTCCTGTTGTCTATAAAAGCAGCTACCTTATGTTCATAAGCAGAGTAAAGACACCAATGTGTGTTCTGTGTTCCTCCATCAGCAAACAATAACCTTTAGGAAATCCATTCGAGCAGAAGCAATTGTCCTTTTGTTGTTTGTGGCCAAACATCTTGCAGCCAGCTGGGTTACCTTTACAGGCGGAGCTACTTCCCAGGTGTAGCTGCAGTTTTGTAGATTAAACATCTGATTTATCTAATTTACTTTGAAAAAATAAAATAAAAAATACTTAAGAGAATAAAAGGGTAAAGAAAAGTTTTTTGTTTTTTTTTTGCCCCTCTCTTCTCCTGGTTTCTTGTGAGACATTGGCTCCCCCTTGTGGATAAATATTGTCATGAATTCTAATGTGAATTAAATGTTGTTTATACCGATTTATGCTTTTGCATTTTAAACTACCGTAAAATAAATCAAGTCACAAAATGGTGATTAAAAAGCATAGAGAATTAGCTTTTTATGTGTGAAAGTCCATCAAATCTAACACCTGGTTGTGCAACCCATGTATGAGGTTTGTGCAGTAACTACTGACACCCAGTGTTTTTGATAGCTGGAAATCGACCCTAGGAAAGTTGCTCCTGTTTCTGCATTTTCTTTTTTTTCCAATCATGCTTTCAGTGTTTACTTTTATGAACAGCTTGTTTAAACCCACACCAGGTCATTCATGCAGTGGCAAGGCCAGTAAAAAACCTTAATTTCAAGCTATTCAGAAATGTACTCTTCATATTTCTCACTATTGTCCTATTAAATAATCAAAGTTTGCTTGAGCTTAAGGTCACAATCTGTTAACCAGAGGGTCGCTTTCGAGATTTCCTGCAAATTATCTAATTCAAGTAGATTGTCCAAATACTGAAAAGAAAAAACGTAACCATTAAAAACATATATATATATATATATATATATATATATATATATATATATATATATATATTATTTGTAGGGATGCACCCATTTAATAATAATGACTCTTCTCAAATCTTTTTTGGATAATGAGATGTTTTTTTCATCAAATTTTGTGGTTTTAACCCTGGAAATTTGCAATAAATGCTGTTGTTGTTCAGTCGCCTGTTCAGCCGTAATCTGAAAACAAAAAAATTTTTACTTGGACAAGTGAGGTCTGCAGGGCTGTAGTTTGGTAGGCCCATGGATTCCTAGGACAGTTTCCTTCTCTGTAATCTTTTTTTCATTCTTAGATGACTGCTCTGTGGTTAGTGGGAGTTAATGGGTTACAAAAGACTTTCAAATTAATTCCATGCTGTTTTAATCAATATTCTTTAAATTCTATAGATTGAGGCATTATGTAAACTCTTTTGATCCTTTATGATGCTTTATGTTGACAGATTTGCTTTAAAGCTACAGTGTGTAATTTTCAGCGACATCTAGCGCTCAGACTGCAGCAACATGAACATCCCCCCTCCCCCACCGCTTCTCCCCCCCAACTGTAAGGCGAGCGTTACGGGACAAAATGTCTTCCACGACGTCCGCATCACCTACTTTCTCAAGTGATGAGGTTTGTTTACATAGATAATTTTACAGATAGTATTTCATTAGTCTGTGTAGGGTATAGATTTCATGTAGACTTTAGATAATAAATATACCCGTTATTTTTTCTACATCGTTGTGACGTTTTGGTGAGCTGCTTTGCATGGTGATATAAACAGACGAAGTAATTGTAGTCATTAGTTAAACAGCGAGATTGTGTTCGCTGGAAGAATATATATTCCCCGTTTACAGAGTCTAAGTCTTGTTTGTGGCACGGGGGTTACAAGGCGAGGAAGAGGGAGAGGAAGAGGGCAGAGAGGCCGGGGTGGGCGTGCAGCTAGGGCCAGCCGAGGGAGAGGTGCCTACAGCAGTGGAGGAAAGGCTTGAAGATCTCCAAAGGAGCCGGAGAGAAGTAACCGAGGTATATATCCGTAGCTCGCTAATATGCAGCTTCATATATCTGTCTCTCTCACACTCACACACGCCACTATCAGCTGTGGTAATTTTATGAAGCTGTGGCCTTATCTAGGTAATGCTACCAGACATCTTGACAATAGTTTGGTTGAAACGGGATGTGGGGGTGGGGTATTACGTGTATAAAAAGACAATTGTGTGTGTAGGATTAATTACCTGTCCAACAGAAAACTGGCGACTTGAGCGTCACTTTGAAAACCTTTTTCCTCCATCAGTGACTTCCATCGTGTAAATGCCGTGCCAATGTTGATCCGCGTTTTTTGTCACGCTTGCGTTTATTCTCGTCGTGTTTCCGCTTCTTAGATGACGGGGGTTCGGTGTCCGCCGCTTTTCGTTGTGATACAGAGTAGGCATGATCCTCCATTCGTCTGATGTTTGGCCAAACAGTTTGCAAAGTCACTCACGCCTGCCGCCTTGTTTACCTTTCTTGTTACTGAAGCGCCGTATACCTGCTTCTTCTTCTTCTTTGGTTTCAGGCAGACTAAACGCTTTTCAGGCATAATACTGCCATCTATTGTTCAGTACCGTCTCAGTTCATCTCTCTCAACTTGCCGTAGTTACTTTCGAGCGTAATGGGCGATCTCACAATCGCTAGTTTGTTGCCTCTGCGCTGCCGTAGCGCAAAGATGTCAGCCTCCATGGCTGCGAGACCCGCTCCTATGTAATTATAAATAACGAATTCTAAGGCAACGCAAATATTATGGTTAAAAGGCTGAGCTCATAGGTGATGATAAGTAACATAGTTATGTATAATATATTCAATTTCTGACTTTATATCCCTGTAATTATTACACACTGTAGCTTTAAGTGATTTCATAACTGATCTGGCCGTATTTAGGTCTGTGTGGCTAAAACAAACAAAATCTCCTGACTCCCAGTTGAACAATAAGCAAAGCTAATTTTGGTGTTTTCAATATATATATATATATATATATATATATATATATATATATATATATATATCCTATGTGTTTGATGTCAAAATGTTGCACTTGAAAGTTGGCGTCAAAATGTTAATATCTTCAATGAATAGTAAAGGAAGTGACATAAATCCCATGAACAATTTCAAGCAATTTATTATGACAGCAGAGTTTTGGTAAATACTTCCAATATTTTTACGCACTCTCTAAAGTTTAGCCCTGCCTCTGCTTATGTCTCGGGTTTGTCTTGCAGAACACAAACAAGCGCCCCCTCCTTCGGACAAAGAAACAGTCTTTGCAGCGCTTTTTCAGGGCTGACTTGGTTTTCATCCCCACAGAGGGCTGGATGCAGGGAAGATGCTGCTGCCACTGACCCAAACGGGACGGTCCATCCTGAATCGGGAGGATAGATGAGGGAAGAGGCCCAGATCTGATTCTGGCTGCTGATAGAAGCATTGAGCGAGGGGCAGCAGCAACAGTCCATAAACATCTGTAGGCACCTGCTGCTGATGTGAAGAGGCTGGGATTCATGCAGCTTATCTTGGTCACTTGTTGAGTCAGAGAGGTAGCCAGGTGCTTCAGCAACAGAGGACCCATGGTGACAACTCCTGTAGAGAGAAACATTTTTATTAGAAACATACAATGAAATTTAGAGCTTAAATAGTTTGAGAAACCAGCTTAGGCAAAATAAACTGTTCAGTTAGGTTAATCTTAAGAGTACAAAGCTTCAATTTAATTCAAATTACAACTTGAAACTTTAACATAGATTATTGGCTCTTTGCTGCAGCAGACAAGATACAATAGTACATAATAGTGAGGTGTACGGGGGAAAAAAACGTATTATTAAAAGTCTTCAAAGTGTTACATGCATTCATCATTTTTAAGACAACAGTGGAAAAAAATCTAATGAAATTAGGGCTGCAATTAATGATTATTTTTCCAGTTTATTAGCCTGTTGTTTTTTGTCGATGTATTGATTAATAATTGACTACTGCGCTGAGTGGGTTGGCCTGATTTAGACTCTCTATACTTCAGTTAAGATTAATCGATTACTAAATTAAAGGAAAATTATATCCATTGATCACAATTAGTCCAAATAAATGTTTCAGCCCTACGAAAAAAAAGGTAAAACATTTTTGTAAATAAGCATATTTTCCCTTAATTTGGGCAGGCAAATAACATGATCTGGCAGGGAAATTTTAATGTTTGCCTTTATGATAATTAATTAAATAAAAAAAGATAAGGATACATTATATACTTTTTTTAAATTCTAAATATAAACCATCTTATTCCATTGACAAATTGTGATCACAATGGTTCACACCAAGGAAAAACACACCAATTTTAAGAAAAATAATTTTTGCAGTGAATGTAATTTGAAACCCCAACCATTGCCTTTAGGAGTCCTATAATCCGCTTATATAATTCCTCTATAGCAGAGGGGTCGGATTAGCGGACCAGGGTTCGGATACAGACCCACCTGCTAGCTAATCTGAACCCAATCTGATTTAAAACATTTATAATTTACTGCATGTTATCCGATGACATTTTCTAGCTTCACTTGCACCGCTTCTGCTGTTAACATGGTAAAGCCGTCCGGAGCGCCGGGACCAGGCTACATGTAATACAAGTTAGCCAATGAGCTGCTGTCAGTCTTGGTTGCTGCTGCTACTTTTAGACACAGCAGGTAAACCTGTGGCAAGCCGGGCGATGGGAAAGAAGGAGAAGACGATGAGAAAAAGAGAGCTGAGAAAGTGTGGACTGCTGGAAGAAGCAGGGTGAGAAGTGAAATGTGGCGCTCAAAGATGACCCTGCACATTTTGGGTATGTTTGGTTCAACCTACTGCTGTTAAGCAGGATTCTCCACCACAAACAGAATCAAAAATATATATGGATCCAGGCTCAAAATGAGCTCCTTGATATGTGCGTTAGAATGGCTTCGTCTACATTCAGCCACAGGTTTAAAATCTTGCAGGGCAGCCTAAAGCCCACTGCTCTCATTAAGCCATTAAAAAGAAAGAAAAACGAAGAAACAAGTCACTTCAGGTGTTTTATAAAATCTGCGAATCAAGAAATTGTCTATATACATAACTGAACGATTGTTGTTCTCTACTTTAAAAAACACTTTAGATTGTAAAATGGAAAAGTGTCCTATTTTTTTAATATATATTTTTATTTAAAAAGTGAATGTATAAAATGGATGCATAAACACCTCCTTTTATTTCAGTGTTGAATTCTGTTAAAGGTAACAGATTATAATTGAAAATTACTCCGGACCTTTACTGGTTGATGATTTTCTTTATTCGGACCCTGCTGATTTTTAATTGTTGACCCCTGGTCTATATATATATATATATATATATATATATATATATATATATATATATATATATATGAGGACTATATTTACTGTATATGCATCTTTTCCTCCTTTTGGCACTTTCTTTTTTTGGACAATTGAGCTAATGTAATGAGTAAATATATCCACTGTGAGATCAATAAAGTCAATCAATCAATCAACATTAGTAACAAACAGCATTTCTCACACAATTACCATGAACACACAGTAAAACATGGTGGTGGCAGCATCATGCTACCGAGCTGCTGTATCCCTTTTCCTTCAAACCTAATAATTATATAGTAATTATTTTGCAAATATCTAATCAAAAACCAATAAAACACATAAAATACATTAGAGTCTACGGTTGTCAACATGACTAGATTGAGAATATAAGGGGATAAAAGCAACAATGCAACACAGAACACACCCAAACATGAATTTACCATCTATTTCAGGTTGTAATGACAGTATTTTGGATATAGTATTAGTTAAAAAAACAACCTAAAACAACAAAAGACTGTTTATGAAGAACGACTATGCAACATAAACCAGAAAGTCAAGTAAGTTTTAGCTTGACCTGCTAATGCTAAAGCCTAATTTACGGGAAGGCATACATAGGCGGTTTGTCATAACGCAGTTGGTTAATTAAGTCAAAAATGTAAGCAAACCTGTTAAATTTTAGGGAATCCAAGGCATGGATTTTATCACCGATAGTTGTCTTTGAAACGTCGAAACAAAACCGCAATGCTGCTCTTGGCGTTTGCTTCTCACTGAAGCGCTTCCGGGTTAACAGTTGGGTAAATTTAACCCACACTTTTGCTGTTAAGGTTGTTTGACTGCATGACTTTAAAATTATATCTTATAAATATGTGTATATGTAATGTATAGTTTCATATATAATATTTAAATAGTTTATATAAACTTTATTCGACAAATTAAAGTACATTTTTGCTCAGTCCTATGCTAGTGTTAGAGCCTGACAGGCAAAACTCCTGATAAATTAACATCTGCTTCTTTGTGAACTGTTGTAAATATGGCGGCCGCGGTGTGCAGAGCTCTGTCCTTCACTCGAAACGCTAAGGCGCTGGTTCAACCTTTAAGGTTGGCTGCTGTTACCGTCCACCGATACAGCTTAGAGGTTTCCAGCACCGGGGAGACTGTCACTCATACCGGCCAGGTAGCTTTTAATATTTAATTTATTTTTAGTGCTAAAAGCTAGGCCGACGGTTAGCTCTCTGTTAGCTCACCTTAGCCAAGTTCAAATGTTGATGTAATTCTATTATCGGACAGATCTGTGTTACAGTAAATGTTTCTATATTTGATCAACTTTTATTAGCACCCAATAGATTTTTTTTTTATCATACATGAATTGTGTATTTTATATACAATTGTACTTTGTTGAAAAACAAATAAAAGCAAGCGAAATATAATGCTAACTAATAAAATCTTTGTAAAAGCTACAAAGTATATGTTTTCTATTTAACCCTACATAAAAGCTAAATGATGTTTCTTCCAGGTGTTTGATGAAAACGATCCCCGGAGAGCCAGATTTACTGGTAAACAGAAAGAGGTAAGTGTTCAAAAACACGTCAACTATAAGACCCATAAAATAGTTTGGAATCAAGCGCTGAAATGGACGTTCAGTAACAGCAACATTATGGCAGATAAGCTCTATAATAGAGCTGTAGGATTTCATGACCGTAATACTTGTACCACGTCAAATAGGATTGTTGTTTATTTGAAAAAGATTTCATCCTGAGGTGATGAAACAAAGTGCTTTGAGAGCAAGGGCGTAGGTTTGATTTCAACTTTGGTAGGGACACTATTCTTCAGTTTCATTGGTCCTTTGCAAAAAATATGCATGCTCTTTTTTATGCTTAATGTGAGCTTCAGGGCTCATTTTGTTTAAAGAGAACAGCAGCATTTCTTGCTACATTAATACAAATTTTATAAGCACTACATTCACTAGATGCTGTTTATCAATATTTAAAGCATCACTGGCTCTGATGAATGTGGAATTAGGACTTTTTCCACTTTGAAAAGGATTGCATTTAAATTTACCTGCGACTAAGACAGTGTCTGTTTAACCAAATATAGTATGAGGATTTATCCTGTGTTTTCTTCTGAAGATATAGAATTGTACAGAGGTAAACCCCACTCTTATTTTTTTTTTTTTTATCTAATATGCTCTCTCTGGATCATGCAAAATAATACATTCAAGGGACGGCAAATAAATGTATTGTATTTACATGTGCACTGGAACTATAAGAGGAACTGACACTGAGCATTTAAAGTATTAACATTAGAAGTTGTACATCTGGGCTGTAGTTACTCTGTGTAGCTAATTTCATGTATTTTATCTATGGCTGAAACAATCATATTAACAAATTATTTAAATAATCCTGAACTGATTTAGTAATTGATTAATCGTTAACTGGAGTATAGGGCCACTAAAATGTGCCTTTAGCCGACAGAGTGACCCACTTAGAGCACGAATTATACCAAGAATGTAAAAAAATATTAGCATTGAAAGGTAAAAAAAAAAAAAAAGTTTTTGTCTATCAATATTCTCTATCCAGAACTCCTCCAAAGGAAACGTTTAAACGTTTCTGTTTCACCTGGATTCATTTCATAAAAGATCTTCTTTAAGGAGCCTTTGGCTATCTGATTAAAAGATAAAATAAAAGAAATCCTAAGGTTGTTAACTTACATTTCTCAAGTTCCACAAATCAAAAAACTCTCTCCTGCTTCTTTACAGAACTCCAATCAGAAGCTTTCGCCTGTTTTAGCGAAGATAATTTTTTTTTAATTCGGACTAGTTTCGTAGCCCAATATTAATTTATTTTAGCGTCTTTTTTTTCCGCGCTCCAAGCACCCGCGCGCGCGCACATACAGACTAGAAAACACGCAATCAGAAAGAGAGAAGGCGGAACTTAAGGCAGAATAATCAGAGAGTTAAACCGCGCAGCACAGTTGATGCGCTGCTATGTGAAAGGGACAGGAAAGAGGAGGCAGCTGCAGCTACCAGGCAGAGAAGCTGCGAGAGGAAAAGAAGCGGCTGCTGTATAGTAAATTATAAACATGTTGTTTACATCCAATTATTGGTAGGGACAAATAGGTCCGTTCCAAATTTTGGTAGGGACATGTCCCTATGGTCCCTATGCAAACCTACGCCCATGTTTGAGAGAATACTTGGTTAGTCTTCTCATCATCTTTGGCTCCATTACTGAAAACACAGGTAACCAGGTTACTACCAAACATGCACATATCAGATGCTTGGAGAACTGTAGATGATCCATAGTGTGGTATTGTGCATTGATTTAGCTGAGACATTGTACAACTTTCAGCTTGACATTGCTGCTTTATAATGTTCCTAGTATAATATTTTATGGGCAGAGGAATCCAATATGAAGAATATTTCATAAAGATAAGCACCGTTTATTTTTATATTAAACAGATTATAAGCCAGTTAGGACAAAAACAACGTGGAGGTTCTATCATGCTTTGAGACTTTCTCATTTAACTTCTGAATGAAAACACTGCAGCATCTCACAATAAAATATAAACTATGGTTGTAAATTGTTTCAGTTAATAATTTTGAAGAAAATGGTTCCTTAAAGTTAGTGATGGTGAGATGAAGCCTCATGAGGCATTGAACCATTTGGCCAAATTGCTTCAACGATCCCCACAGTTCATGAGGCTATTGGTGGAGTGCAGAACTACAGTTAGTAATAATCGTTTTTGTTTTTCCTTTTCCCCCTCTTTTAAGTTCCTTTGAAATTGTTAACTGTTAGTGTGTATAATAAAATCTTTTGTAAATTGTAAAAGTGTAAAATTTGTTAGAGCAATAATTTAAGGTGCACAGTTTTTCTGCCAATTTAGTGAAATAAACTCAAGCAGAGAGTGAAAGTGTTTGTGAAAATTGGGCAATGATAAGCAAAATTAAAGGTGTTAGACATTTTTATTCAAACATAATAGTTTTTTTCCACATTTTTTGGTTTTAATCAGGTTGGAAGCTGTGTTCAACCAATCTTTTGGCTAAACCGACCTAATTTGGCAGCGTTTTTACTACCGTATTTTCACGACCATAAGGCGCACCGTACTAAAAGGCGCAGTCTCAGTTATGTGTCCCATTTCTGTATTTAACACACACATAAGGCGCACCGGACTATAGGGCGCGTTTTTTATATACAGGTACATGTCCTCTACTACCTTTAAATAGCTCTACTGCGTATTTAAAAATACAGCGGGGGCAAAACTGAGTATGACTGTGCTTTATTCATGTATTTATTACAAAGTATTAATCAAATCTGGGAGCTGGCCATGACACAGACACATCGCAGATGACACAGCGCTGTGATCACTCCTAAATTAACTTAAAATCCTGAAACCTGCCGACGGAATATGTTCGCTTTTATTGCCGGTATCCTGGTGCCTGCAGTTTAAATTATTTAGATGAAAAACACCTGCCAGCCGCCTCGGTGAGGCTGCTGTTGAAGGGATTTCTACTGTCAGTGCACCGCTGGTATGTGGGGGTCTGAGCGCCTCCGACAGAAATAGTATATGCAGGATAATAATCTGGATGAACTGACTGCAATTATTAAGTTTTCAGGTGGCCTTTCTCACTTAAAAACATATTAAAACTACTTTATTCCCACTGATCACAGCAAATATAGCTGCAAGATTTAGATTATTTAGATGAAAAAACACCTGCCAGCCACCGCGGTGAAGAGGAGGAGACCCGCCCAGAGGCTGCTGTTGAATTAAGTTTTCAGGTAGAAAAATAGAGCGGGAGCAAAACTGAGTATGATTGTGCTTTATCAAAGTATTTATTACAAAGTATTAATCAAACCCATCAAAGTCATCATCCTCTGTTTCTGAATTAAACAGCTGCGCTAAATCAGACATGCCAGTTTCCCCTTCTTTGCTGTCAGAGTCACTTTCCGTGCCGGGCGGCTCCTCAGAAATAATGCCGGCTTTTGCGAAAGCTTGAACAACAGAGCCAGCAGACACGTTAGTCCAAGCATCTACAATCCATCTGCAAACTGTGGCGTAACTTGCCCGGCGCTGCCTTCCACTTATCCTGAAACTGTGGTCTCCGTCTGTCCTCCATCGCTCCCACGCCGCTCGCAGCCTTACTTTGAACGGGCGCTTCACACCGATGTCGAGCGGTTGAAGTTCCTTTGTCAGACCCCCGGGATAACGGCGAGCACAGAGTTCATTTGATTCACCTTTTTTTTCACATCGGCTGTGAGATGGGCACGCAGCGATGGTGATGCGTGGAAAAAAACACCTGGTCTCCTCACATAGGCTACACCTCCCTCAGCCACGCTTTCATCATCTCCTCATCCATCCAGCCTTTTTCATTTGCGTTAATCAGAGCGCAACCATTGACTTTGCATGTAAACTCGCTGCTTCTGCTGCACCTGCTGGGTCCGGTTCACACCGATGTCGAGCGGTTGAACACAGCGTTAATTTGTTTCCCCATGTTTTTCACATCAGCTGTGAGATGGGTACGCATGGAGTTGCATATTAACAGCGATGGTGATGAGTGGAAAAAACCCACCTGGTCTCCTTACATTCAGCCACTCTTTCATCATCTCCTCAATGAGGTGGTCTCAAAAGTCGCAGTTACAACACACATAGGGCGCACCGCACCAAAGGGCGCACCGCACATTTTGAGGGAAAAAAAAGACGTTTAAGTGCGCCTTATAGTCGTGAAAATACGGTAATCTATATTTTTACTGGGGCAAACCAATGCAAATTTTCAAAAGGCAAA